AGAATAAGAATAATCAATTAAAACAAATAAAATTTTAAAATTAAATTAAAATTTTTAAATAAAAAGTATTTAATACTAAAAATAAACAAAAAACTAATATATATTGTGTTTATAATATTGCTAATATTTTTTTTACCTTTACTTCTATTGATTAAGATAAGACAAACGCAAAGCAAGCTTTTTAAAAAAAATAACTTATTCATTTTCATTTTCTATCGATAAAACAGACAACAATCTTCAAAATTAGCTTTAGTTGTCGTAATTTCGACGCTATATATAAAAACAATGAAGTCATATGATTGCTGTATGCTTTTTATTCATCATAGTTTGACATTAATGTTGTTGTTACTATTAGTTATTGTTGTTATAAAGCTGTAGTTATTATTATTTGAAGTGTCTTATAGTTATATAACATAGCTTATATAGCCATAAGACATATAGATTAAAAAATTTAAAATCCTAATGTTTTCTATTTGTTATTTTTTTAGTTGTTTGTTTGCAAGTGTTTCATTTTTAGTTTTTTGTCAACAAAACCTTTTTTAAATTTGTGTGTGAAAATGTCAACATACATAAGTTATATCGCAAATTTTCTATTTACTTTCATGATACCAACGAGTTCTTACTTTTATTGACACATTTTTATTTATCTACTTAATTAATGTTAATAGACCAACTGAATGACACAAAAATATATAATTAATAAATATAAGATGTAATTAATGTCAGAAAATCCATGGAAAAATATCTACAGACTATACTGAACTAAAATTAAAGAACGTGATACAGGATTTTCAACTAAATTTTGACATTGAACCCCCAGTGAAAAAAAACATATTTATTAATGACCAAAAAATGGTGTATCCGCTCCAAGATAAAAATAATAAATATTACTTTTGTTGCGTTATTGAGATTTATCTTGTATACGTCATTATGATCGTATCTTTTGATTCCTCGCTTACTTTTTATTTTGCTTGTGTTTTAGGTATTGTGCACTTCTTACTGAATTATGATGGTATAATTTTTAGAAACCATTAGAACTTTGAATTTTTTTTTTTTTAAATCTACTTTGAATATTCTTGGTCCGATGCTCCCTTTCTCCTTTTCTTATTCCTACAAACTTATTCTCTTCACAAACTTATAATTATCTTTCATAATTATTCTTATTATTAATGTTTTTTGTGATTAGAATTGTTCTTAAACAAATATCGATTATGTTGTAACTAATGTTGTTGTTACTATTCTGTTGTTGTTACTATTCTGTTGTTGTTACTATTCTGTTGTTGTTACTATTCTATCGTCATTATATTATAACTATTGTAACTTTACTATTACTGATACTATTGTTTATTATTGATAAAATTGTAAAACATTTTAGATCTTGCCATTCCAGGATAAAACGGTACAACCTTTGTCTATATGAAAAGTATGTCATAATATCTTACAACAATGACAACTCATTAAATAAGAGAAATGAATTAGTTAGGGCTGTCCCGAAGAGATTTTCAAGGGTGGTGTCTGTCTGTTTTTTGCCGACTAAAGCCCAAAAACTGCTAACTATAAATCCATAACTATAAATTGGATTTATAGTTAGCGACTGCTAACTATAAATCTAAATTCGCCGACTTTAGTGTCCAATTTGCCGACTAAAAAAATTTGTATGGGGCTAGACACCCTCCTACGCCTCCACCTCGGGACGACCCTGGAATTAGTATCTAAATGCTTCCAGCATAATTCGTTACGGGTTATTAGGGAGCCGTTTTCAGATTTTTCTTTTTGTTGTTTGTTGTTATGATGACGAAATTTTAACGGTATTTTTGATTTTGATTTGCTTTAAGTGAATGATGATTGTTTTTAGGGATTATCTATAAATTACGCAAAGATAGCGTTGCATAAATTTAGCGCGCTAAATTTATTTCAAATACAGAAGTCTTTTGCTCTTTTACGCGGTGATTTTCATTAAACTTAATCGCCTATTATGATTGTTTATTTTAACTAAGGTTCTGCGAGAGAAAACTTTTAAACTTATTGTTTTGTTTATTAGTGAAACCATGGAAGTATAAAACAGAGAAGTTCAACTGCATTGAAATTCTTTGTTACTATGCTCGTACCCTTTTGTTTCGTAAACAATAAGAAAACGACATCAAGACTGTATTTAAACGCCTAACCTTTATACGTTGACGCAAATAGGTATGTTTATAATAATTTAAAAATAAAGGTTTGCCAATAATATTCAAGAAAAACATTAAAAATGGCGCAACAAAACGGCAAAATACAAGTTTTTTACAAACTTTATATTAAATGAATGGAGTACTACAAGAATGAATGGAGTTATGATATACAGCTAATAAAACTTTAAACTTTATTTATTTAGAAAACAATTTTTTTGATTGTTTAAAAATTGTTTTAATTGTTTTTTTTTATCAAATGTCGTGTTATGACTTGAAACAAGAAAAGAAGCTTAGGGTGGAATGCAAGAGGCGAACTTGAGTCAAGCTCGAACTTTACTTTGTAACCAATAGCGGCAGAGTATTTTTTGAGATGAAAACCCATACTCTGTCGCTATTGGTTGCAATGTAAAGTTCAAGCCGAGCTTGACTCAAGTTCGCTTCTTGCATTTCACCCTTAAACTAACATGCTTTTAAAATCAAGTGGTTCTATTTAATTACCGAGTTTTAATAAACCTTTTGCTGAATAATTGCTGAATAATGGTTAAACATTTGTAGCATATCCCTATTTTTTAATGTCTTAATAAAGATCATTTCAGTGAATTTTGTTGTTTTTTTATCCAGTGAAACATGTTTTTTTTTAAAATATTGGTTACAAGCAAACTACCGAGACGACTTGAAATTGCTTTGATGTTTGCGGCTTTATACTTCTATGGTGAAACTTAGCGTTGCGTAATTTATGGACGATCCCTTAGGCATGAAACTATTAGTAACATAAAAAGTTTCTTGGTTTATGAAACAATATATATATATATATATATATATATATATATATATATATATATATATATATATATATATATATATATATATATATATATATATATATATATATATATATATATATATATATATATATATATATATATATATATATATATGTAAAATTCAATAAATACGGCTGCTTTAAACTTTTTTGAAAAAAGTGTGTATTGGTTGTTGTTTTTATTTTTATTTTAATATATATTATTCGATTTTCGCTGATCTGTGTGAATCACAATTTGTGATTAGCATCATCAGGTATAATAAATAAAAACAAAAAAGATCGTTATAAAAAAACAAACCGTTAAGAAGATAACATTGAAAAAAGCATGAGAAAATACAAAATAGGATTTAAATGTTGACGTCAACAATTAAAACTTTGTTATCTTTTTAAGGGTTTGTTTTTAATAGAACGATTTTCTTTGTAACGATTTTTACTTATTATTAGAGATGTACCGAAGCTTCGGCTTCGGCTTCGGCGTGCCGAAGCTTCGGCAATTTTGCCGAAGCTTCGGTTCGGCCGAAGCCAGGTCAATTTTTTGCCGAATCTTTGGCTTCGGCAAAAAATTTTAATTAATTAAAGTTATAAGCTACTGTGGGACAAGTTATAAAAATAAGCTAATTGCCAGTGTCTAATAAAGTTATAAATTTAGGACTACAGAGTTAAAGTTAGAGTCTGTACCATATACTTAGTATTATTTACTCCCAAGTGTCTTGTTAAGGAGGGGATAATAATAAATAAGTAAAAATATTTTGAAAAAAATAATAAAATTAAGGAAGGTCCTCAAACACTTTGAAAGCTTCCAAGTGTGACTTTAGATGAACTGAAGCAGCATTTCTATGCAGAATAAAAACCTTATAATTTAAAACAAATTAAAAGTTTTTAAAACCTTAATAACGAATTCATATTAATTATTGTGTGGGATTACCGCAAATAGAACAAAATTTGGTTTCAACATTTGACCGATAAACCTTAGTAATCTCTTTTTAAAGAAGATTAAAGATACGTTGCTACTATTTTAAATTATGTGTATGTTTAATTTTTTAAAATGTTATTTAACCATATTAATAAAAATTTACAAATTTTCATCGTAAATTTACAGAAATTGGTTAGGTGTCACTTATATAGATACAAAATAGTCAATGGAGTGACACATAAAAAACAAAAAGTTCTCAACAACAAAAAAGGAAGAAAAGCAAATGAAATATAAACGAGGAGAATAAAAAAAGAAAATAAAAAGCCAACAAAAACTAGATAAATTAAAAGAAAAAGAAAAACAATGATAATAACTATTCTTGCTCTTTTATTAATATTATGAATACTTCTAAATTGAATTTATATATTAAACATATAAACCAATATTCTGGTTTCTTCTTATGATATTATGAAGACTTTTAAATTTTATTTAAAATAAATTAAAGGTTGAAGCTTTGATTACTTTGAACTCTTATATTTATCATCAAAATTTATTTAAATTAAATAAACAATTTAAATCAAATAAATATCAGCCTGCTCAGTTCCTGTTTATTTATAAATATAAAGTCAATAATAATATAATTATAAATAAAATATTTATAAAGTATTCTATTTATTATTTTATTTAAAGCTCACTCTACTGAGTTGTTAGATTACTATAGAAGTTTTTGTCACAGATAGTTAATATTTGATTTCAGATAGTGATGCAGATTTATCCATTTCAGAGACAGAAGAAGAATGAATACTACAATTTCAGAGTGTAAAAGATTAAAAGAAGCTTAAGAAAATGTTATGTAGTGTTAAGTTGAAAATAATCAAAAAAAAAAATACTTAAAAGTGTGTAAAAAAGAAGTTAGAGAAAAATCTATCATTTGTACTTTTTTTTAACAGCAGGAGCACAACAGTTGTAGTGGAATCCAAAATGGTCTTAACTTGGGTTTTTTTTAGTTTAGAAATTGTTCGTTTAAAGAATACAGAGAAGTAAAAAAAAGATATTGAAATAAATAGCAATAAAAAGATAAAGTGTGTTTCTAAGATTTTTTATGTTGTAGATACAACTAGATCAGTTAAGAGTGTTTGTTTAAAGAAAGAGTGATCAAGTGCAAAAGATAATTTTACTCTAGTAATGTTCAGAGATTTTTATCCACTTCTATTTAACAAAAGGTGCATTAAAAATAAAAATAAAATATACAGCACATGAAAAAATGCTATATAACATTAATATGGTTTGCACACAGAAAAAGTAGAACTAGAAGTAGGAAAATTTGGGGAGAATGTTTCAAAAAAGCTTAAGTTTAAAAAAAAAACGCTCGATGCGGTCAAGTATCAGAAACGACATAATGAGAAACTTTTAAACAGGGGCGCTGAGAGCTTTTGCCCTACCTGGAACAGCAACTCTGACTGGCGTCCTCATTTTTATACAATTTTTCTATATTATTAGTCAAGGACCTTAGTTTTGGTACCTTTTTTGTTTTACACCCCTGCTGATCTGAATGCTGATTAAATTTTAAGCATATATAGTGCCGAAGCTTCGGCTTCGGCAAAGTGGCTTCGGCCGAAGCTTCGGCTTCGGCAAAATTTCAGCTTCGGTACATCCCTACTTATTATACCTGATGACGCTGATCTATTGTGATATACGCGAAGTATTGAATTATATATATTAAAATAAAAACAAAAAAAACCAATACACACTTTTTTCAAAAAAGTTTAAAGCAGCTGTATTAATTGAATTTTACATATATATATATATATATATATATATATATATATATATATATATATATATATATATATATATATATATATATATATATATATATATATATATTATATATATATATATATATATATATATATATATATATATATATATATATATTATTTTATTATTTTTGAGTAGCCATATGTGTTTGCTTGATATGATTTAATTTTTTTTTTTTTAATATTGTCATTTGTTATAAAAACTCTATACTTTTCGTGATTATATGTTTGTGTGTGACACGTTTTTATTTGTGAGTATTATAGAATAATGTTTGTTTTGTTTATTTATTGTTATTTTTTAATGAATTATTTATTTTATTTTTGTTGTTTTTATTATGATTATTGATATTAAGATTATTATATTTATTAAATCATTGTTACTTTTTTTTGCAGGAATTGTTTTAGTTACATGGTAGGTTGTTACGTTTTGTCAGTACTTAACTGTTTGTAACTTTCCTGTCTGTCTATTATATTCAATTGTTGTTTTAAAATTTGTATTGGTTTATTATCGTATGATTTTCTTCTTATTCTTATAACTTTTAATTTATCATCATTATTATTATTATTGTTATTATTATTATTATTATTATTATTATTATTATTATTATTATTATTATTATTATTATTATTATTATTTGTATTATCAATCCTATTTCATGGTATTTACTTAAGATTAGTTTTTAACTATTTGTAAATGACTTCGATTGTAAAATCTTTTATTGAAAAATTTATTGATTGATTAATTTTATATATATATATATATATATATATATATATATATATATATATATATATATATATATATATATATATATATATATATATATATATATATATATATATATATATATATATATATATATATATATATATATATATATATATATATATATATATATTCATATATATATATATATATATATATATATATATATATATATATATATATATATATATATATACAAATAGTCTTAATGACTATTTGTGGCTGTTCCTTTTCTAAACCAACAATCTCTTCGGATATAAGAGCATTGTAAAGAAAAATATATCATGAAAATTCAAAAAAAAAATAAAAATAAGTAAAAATAAATGAGTGCTCCATTAATTACTCAAAAGACTTTAACTTCCGGTTTGTACGTCACTGAATGTTTTCTGAAACTTCTTTTGCCATTTGTTAACAAACACAAGAAGGGAGTTATTTTTTGGCCGGATTTGGCATCGATCCACTACTCCAATAAAACAATAGAGTGTTACAACCAAAATGGCATCGAATTTGTCTCAAAAGATGATAATCCTGCAAATTGCCCTAAGCAGCGCGTTATCGAGAGTTACTAGTCATTTATAAAATGAATTTTGTTCAGCAAAAAATCAGCTAAAGATGACAAAAAGAAAATGGATTGCAGCATCAAAAAAGGTCACTCAAAGCAAGATCCAAACCATGGTGCCAACTCTCAAAAAAATTCAATTACTTTCTAAGCGTTCATTGAAATTTGTACAAACTGATTAAAAACTTTAAATGATACCGAAAATAATCCATTAATCAAACTATATAAAAAATTGAAATGAACTATATTCGATAAATAAAACTATATGATCACAGATTAATCAAACTTAATTAGCCTTTAATCAAGGGATGCACTACTTTTTGTACTTTTAAATATACTTTTTACAATTTAAAAACTTATAATTTTTAAATTGTTTACATTTTTGTCTCAATGATATGAAAAAAGAGTGCCTAATAAATCACATTTGAGAAAACCAATTATTCAGAAAAGTAACATATACGTTATTCACTAAAAAATACGGCACAATCAACTGTAAACAACTAGTTTAAATAAAAGAGAACTCTAGGCATAATTGAAATATAAGAGTAAGGGAAGTGAGGGTATAATAGCCCACGTAATGTTTAGACTAATGTAAAATGAAAATAAAAACGACGTGTTTTTTTTTTTAACAGTTTGTTCCAATAAATGCATGAATAAGTTTGAATTGCGACAATTAAGAAAAAAGTAAATTTTTCATGGTACATTTTCTTTACAAGTGTCACAACTCTGTCTATCTGCTGATTGTGTTGCACGTTAGCATACTGTGCAGATATTCTTTGTATCTACAGTCTGAGTTTTCTCATTTGAAATTTGAAATTTGAAAAAAAATTTGAAAAAAACTTCTGCCCCAAGAGGAAAGTTTTTAGAAAGAACACAGTTTCATTGCTTGCTTATTAGGGTATATAGATATCAAAAATGGTGTTTACTTGATTAAATAACGCTAATGACACATATGTTTAATATGAAAATCAAATATTGCTTAATCCTCAAAAAAAGGTGTGGAATAATATGATGCATATAAAATTTTTTTATCAAAGTAAGTAATATTATGAACAACTTCTCACAAACGCAACAGGCACTCTTTTCAACATGAGTGAAATAAAAACACTGTTTTACCAACGCATGGTATGTTTGTTGCCATATTTGATAATTTTTTTCAAGGGAAAATGTTAAAAAATGGTTGTGCCTCCATATGCCATTATGCCCCCACCTCCCTAACACACATTACAACCAATTACAATAGTCGAAAAGTACAATATTTGTTTAAAATTTTGGTCTGGAGTTTCACCATACAACATCCAACAATGGTCAGCCATTATGTTTACGTTCCAAAACTCTTGATAAGAGACGTTCATAGCTTTAATATCTTAATGAAAGTGTTCTCCTTTGCTCTTTACTCACTGCAACAAGGTTGCAGGAATGCAGGAAGTGCATTTTCAAAGCCATTCGGCAATCCATTTCTTTATAAGCATCATTGAAATTCTCATGTTTATATGCATGGGGCATTTATTTTCCAGAAAGTTTCCACATATCTATTTGAAAGCCGACCAAGCTTCCAATTTCAGTGGACTGTAGGCCTATTCAAATTCAATATCCAATAAAAACTTTTGGATTTGTAGCCTAGCAAAGATATCCTCATTCAATTTAGCTGCACTAACTTTCAAAAATTTTGTAAAAAAATATTGAAACCCTTGTAAATTAATTTTATCTATTGCTATAACAAAATTCTTTATTAAATAAAGTTTAATGTGGAGAGGTGGTAGGAAGATCTTTTAGGGATTAACTAACAAATTAGAGACTGATTTTTCTTTAGAAACATGTAAGCTATTTTACGATAGTGTTACATTGTGGCGCAGCTATCCCACAGAAACAAAAATATTTTGCTAGTCCTGTTTGCAAAACCATTAACATGCCTATGACTTTAAGATCTCCACAGATGTTGCATTAATGACTGTCATATTTGATTGCCGTAAGTTGTACATTCATATTGTCATTTGTTTCTTTTAGATGCACAGAATCAACAATGAATGGCTTGGCATTTCCATTATGCAAAAGAACTGCTTTCAAGCTTCTCTGCGACGAATCGATGAAGAGAAGCCAGTTAGATTTTTTTGAAGTTGCCACATACATAACAAAACTTGTCAGGGTGACTCTTTTATTCTCAAGACATGCTGATTGATCCAAGCAATGATTTAGAAACGAAGTAACACCACTACTTAACTTTACACAACGCTAACCGCTGGCAGAATGTAGTAGGCTGTTTTAAGAGATGCCAGGTAACACTTATGCGTGTTGCCAGACATGCGATACCATTATGAAATAATAAAATGAACATGTTAATCTATGAAATACAAAAGACAAACCTAAGAAAGTATTGAAAAAAATATTACTTGGCCTATATAATCTTGGTAAATCAATATAAAATTAGGAAGTTCACGCCTCCTTCCATGCAAATGGCGTTTATCTGGCCGAAGATGGCATCGAATCTCAAACTTTTTAGTTCTGAGCCAGAACTGTAGCTACAGCGCCGCGCCGGCTTGTTGAATAAAGGCTTATTATTAAAATAGGTTTCTTGAATCAGAAACTTTTAGAAGGTATTTAGTGACCTAATGTGAAAACTTTGCTGTTTCTAAAAACTGTATTGGTAAAGTTTTTGATTATTTGTATTTTTATTTTTTGATAACTATCTTGCGTTTTCAATTTAACGTACTTTAAAAAGTAAAAACAGAATTTTAAGCTTTTAAGAAAAACCTGGCATCGAATGTAAAGTTGGACGCACCGACTTGTAATAGAATATTAAATAAATGACCTATATTTATTTAAAGGCAAATAAACCTCGAGAAACATAACGTTTTATTACCCGCACATGCTCAGGAAGGTTTGAATCGACGGAGCAGACTCGTAGATTGTAACGCAAGAAAAATTTGTACTTCTGCGCATCAAAACATTAAGTAAGTTTTGTTTTGTTACATAGTTAAGACTTAAGTTGAGAATTATAAGTAAAAGGGCTTGTGAACTATACTAAAATTGTATCCCAATGTTTGCTAAGTTCTCATGACCTTTATTTTTTTTATGAGCTTTAAATTTTAAAGTTCAAATTTAAAATTACTGATAAGTAATAAATTCACCTTATGTTTTTTCAAGTTACTTTTGTTGTTTCAATTTACTTTACCTTAGTGGTTAAAAAAATATCGTCGATATTATTTAAATAATATCAAACATACCAAAAACGACGAATTTATAAAAGCTTTAAAAGTTGAAACTAAAAAAATTTTCACTTGAGTTTTAATATTTAGCGTGCTTTCCTTTTTAATTTTTTTAAGTCTTTGTCCTTTTTTTTTTGTTGGGTAAAATTTTTCTTTTGTTGGGTAAAGTTCAAAAAAGTATCCTTAATACATAAGCCTAAGAAAAAAGTAAAATAAGTTATAAAGGAAAGTGTGCTAGAATTGTTTTTTTTTAATCATCAATACTGTCATTCGGTTAATACGGTTGTATCAAATGGATCACTTGGCATGCATATTTGCATGTTTGTTTGTAGCAATTTGATGAAATTTTAGATTCTAAAAGATGATGAAACCAAGATGGTTTATTTCTATAAGTTTTGCAAGGTTTGAAAGCTTCCTTAACATCAATTAATTATCTTCTTGTAAATTTTATTTGTATCTATGCAACAATTTATATACTGTACATTTAACACATGAAGGAGTGCAAAGCCTCGAGCTATGTTAAAAGTTAATTGTCAAATATTCTTTATTTTTACCCAGATCCTTGAGTCTATCAATTTTGATAAAATCTAAAACTAATAGATTCCACTCCTAAAGGACTTATTTATTCTGAGATTTTAAAGTTTAGAAATTCCTAAACAGTTCTTAGAGCTATTAAGTAAAGTTTAAGTAAATAGTGGCAAAATATAATAATGTGTGTATGTATTTGTAATTGTGTGTGTGTGTGTGTGTGTGTGTGTGTGTGTGTGAGTGTGTGTGTATATATATGTATATATATATATATATATATATATATATATATATATATATATATATATATATATATATGTATATATATATATATATATATATATATATATATATATATATATATATATATATATATATATATATATATATATATATATAATATATATATATACACACACACACACACACACACACACACACACACACACACACACACACACACACACACACACACACATATATATATATATACTCTTGAGTCCTTAATACAAGGGGTGGTGAGAATAAAGAGGGTTTAATAAAAGGAATTTTTTCAATGTTACAGTATAAGTATTTTTTATAAAACATTTCAATTTATGAATCCAAATTAATATTTTTTACAAAATACAAAAAACTATTTAATTCATATGTTTGTTTATAGCGCAGTTAAATGCACATTTTCTAACAGCTGTTTTATCATAATTTCAATAGGATTTAATATGCTGATATAATTTTTATACTTTTGTGAGAAATAAACCAAAAGCTCATTTTCAACAAATCAAGGTTTACTTGGTCAAGAAATTTTAAAGCACTGTGTACACTGAAAGTTTTTGTTATTATTAATGACTGAAATGATTATTTTCTAATATTTGATGCCAATTTTCACTGATATTTTTTTAGTTTTGAGATAAATAAATAGATAAAGATTTATTAGAACAAGTTTAAAAAATTAAATGTTCTAAAGGACATACAGGTCCAATAAATAGACACTGACAATATGCTATCCTAAAATCAATGTACATATTGAAAAAAATTAGTTTATAGTAATAATATTCAAGATTTCATTCATTCGTTAACTTCATAGAAGAAGTGTTTATCGAAATCGCCCAATTTTATTTTATTTTTAAACATACAAATGTTGTCTGCATTTACGGCTTCTAGTGTCAGTATAATTACTTGTTGAGAAAAATGATATTTGCGAATGTTGAGTTCAGAGTTGATAATGCCGCCCGGCGGCAAAATAACTTTCTGCCGAAAGGCCGACTTTTTAAGGAGGCAGAAGCTGTTGACGGCAGCCTCCCAATGAATTTATAGCGGCATAATGTTCTTTCTTCTGCCTCTAGTTTTGGAGGCAAAGCCATTTAAAGGCCGCCTCCAATGGCTTCTGCCTCCCAACAGGCTGCAGCTGTCAAATTGGAGGAGGAAATATTTGCCTCCCGCCGGCGGATGTGATGAAAAATAATTGCTCGTTTGCTTTAAAGCAATTAAATATTAACTAGAAACAAATGTTAAATACTTGTAATAAATAAATTTGTTGTAATATTGGGTTGTAACATAAGTTCCTTGAGTTTTTTCATAAAGATTTATTTGAACAAAAGCCAATAATTATAATAATAAATTAATCAATGATATATTCTCCGTTACTGTTTATGACCTCCTCCCATCTCTCGACCAATTCGTTGATGCCGTTTCGCCAAAAATCAGTTGGTCTGGTGTCAAAGAAGTTGTTGAGCCAGTTTTTGAACACCATTTCTCATCTCCCGTGATGATTCTATACAAAAAGTGCTGTTTTTGTCCATGTGTTGCTCGGTGGCGGGCGAGATGTTGAGCAGCAATTTGAAGGCGTTTTTCTTTGTTTTCTTCGTTGAGCTCGTGAGGTATCCATGCTCCGATTTTTTGAGTAAAACCAATTGATTGGAGGTGGCGAGAGATTGTCATTGGGCTGATGTTCATTTTTTTAGTCAATTTACGAGTTGTTTGGCAACCACCTTCTTTCAATAGTGCCAGATGCTCTTCGTCGAATTCTGCAGGTCGTCTGCTTCGAGGCGTGTCTTCAAGGTCAAAGTTGCCATTTTTAAACTTTGCAAACCATTTTTGTGCAGTAGACACACCTAAGACACCTTCCCTGTACACACTGCATATGTCCCGAGCGGCTTCGGCTGCTTTTTGACCTTGATGAAAAGCAAAGAAAAGCAAATGTCAAAAATGCTGATTTTTTCCTCCTGGGTGTTCCATTTCTAAGCCAGAAAAAAGACGAACAATTAAATTATCCAAAAAAATAAATAAAACTGTTTTGTAGAAAGAGCTCTTTCGAATTAATGTATACACTTTGCTAAAAAACAAAACAAATCGTTGCAAAATAACTCAAACGCAAAACTCTACGAACATTTGTTACAACCCATTAAATAAATAAACTTTATTGATTTTTAATAATGTTAAAAGATGTTGTGTTTTTCAAATGTTTTTTCAATATATAATGACTAGAATTAATAATTTAATGTTATGGTCGAAAAATTAAAGTTTTAGCGTGATGTAAGGGCGGCAAAATATCAAAGGATCAAAAACTTTAATTAATTGTCATAAACTTTTTTTTTTTGCTTAAGGCATGTAAACAAAATGAAAAGCCATCTGGAGGCGGCCACCATTGTCTTCTGCCACTCTATTGGTGTCAGCCTCCAAAACATTTTGCCTCCAAAAAAGAACTCAGCCGCCAATAGAAAAGCGAAAGCCACTGGAGGCGGAAGAAAGAACATTTTGCCGCTAAAAATTGATCAGGAGGCAGCAGCTGTCTGCTGCAGAAGAAAAGTGGAGGCAAGAAGATTTACGTTGTTTATCAACACTGGTTGAGTTGACATAAGTTGCTTGCTTGAGTTGCTTGCAAATTTCAAAAAATAAATGTTTATCTTATAAGCCAAATTATGCATAATTTTGAAACATATAACTAAGTTATGTTTTAAATGTCTGAGTTCTAGAGAATCCAAACCAAGCAGCTGTAAACAGTTATAATAGCTTAAACACTTAAGATTAGCAATTTTTTGTGTGTCTTTTTTGAATATTTTCAAAAGACTTAACTAAGTTTGGTGTGGCGACCAAACTGGAGAGCAATAATTGGTCTTATATAAGTGGTAAATACATGTACTAATACACTAGGATTGCAAGTTTTAAAAATTTTAAGATTAGGCATGCTCTAGTATTTGCTACATGAATGACTCTGGCAATGTGTTTTTGTAGTTGCAAGAGCGAGAGTTTATAGTTAGGGGAGGTCGGGGAATGGTGGTTTTTTGCCATTTTAAGGGTTTTATTATAATGGTCCGAGCTGTAACTATGGTAGAAGAATTACTACAATGTATATTATAAAATACTTTATTGGCAAATATGTACAAAAAATAATTAACGTGTTATTACAAGAAAATAATTAAACAAAATGGCCAGTATTACCCCATAACTTTGGAGCAATTGTGGCAGCCTGGTCAGCATTACCATAATTCTTTTGTTGAATATGAATAATAAAAACAAGAATAATAATTATTAAAAATAAGTTTTATAAGAGTTTAAGAGAATAAGTTTATGAGTTCAAGAATTATTAAAAATAAGTAGTACAATATTATTATTAATACACTAGTCACAAATATAAATATCATTTTTATGGAGGAGATCTGTACAGTCTTTGTGGGCCCAATCACCACATGCTGCACAGGTTACCCACCATTCTCGGTTTTTACCAAATTCTCCTCAAACCAAACAAATATATGAAGACTTTTCTATTTTCTATCCATTTTATACGGCCTTGATTGCCCTGTATAAAATGGCTAACCCCAAGATGAATTGATTTTTATTAACAAAAATAAAAACATATTTGCAAATAAGAAGATACTTACATTATATATATTTAAAAACTAGAATAATTATATTTCTTATTATTGGTGTTATTTAGTCAACGTCTTTGACATTTATATACTTAATAGCACAATAATTTTTTTTCTTTCTAATACATAAATGACAGTTTGTTTGAGTTTTCATTCTATATTTTTCTATACAATGTTCTTATATCTGAAGATATTGTTGGCTTAGCATAGGAACAGCCACAAATAGTCATTAAGACTAATCCAAAGTAGCGTCCGTTATTGACCAACATTTTTGCGTACCGAAGTACTGCTCAAGCACTCAAGCACAATGGTGGCGGGATTTGAACTTGTATCGTTCAACAGTCCAGGTTT